TACCTTTTTATTAAAAGGTATTAACTATTGTTATCTTTAGCAAGTCATTTTATTATTTGACCATATCTTTCGCAGAAAATTGCATAATAATATCAATAATGATAAAATAAAATCTGTAGTAATTAATTATTGTATTATTTTTATTTGTTTTATTTTTAATTGTTTTATCTTTTGGTTTTACAATTATTTAAAGATATGAAATATATATATATATCAATTTATGAGGATGTTGACATTGTATATATTTAGGAACGAGTAGTCCTATCTATTAATAGCAGACAATATACATAGTAGATAAAGTTATATGGATTTTTTTCATACCAAACGATGTTGCAATTTAAATATTTTCAATGAGATTTATATCATATGTCAGTGGCTGATTAAATTCTTGCTACATGTATCGCAATAGATTATCATATTTCACAAACATGTTTATTTCCAACTCTCTGGAGACAAAATCTTTTAACTTCTATTAAATACTGCGACATTATAATTAAAGAAAAAAATATATCTGTTTCAGAAATTTGCTGTTGTTGCGACAGAAATCCAACAACGATGTTTCAGTGCAAGTCCTTTAAGCTTTGGCGCTGCCAAAGTAGCTATGTCAAAGTTCGACAAGACAAGCTACTTGCCGTACGAAAAATTAGAAAATAATTTACAGATTGTTAAAAAAAGGTAAAGGAGATTCATTTTAAATTTATATTTGTAAGAGAGAATTTTTTTCTTTAATAATAATTAAATATCATTACAGATTGAACCGACCATTGACATTGTCTGAAAAAATATTATACTCTCATCTCGATGAACCCAATAAACAAGAAATCGAACGTGGTACAAGTTATCTTAGATTGCGTCCAGATCGTGTTGCGATGCAAGATGCAACTGCACAGATGGCTATGCTACAATTCATTAGTTCTGGTAAATTTTCTTATCATTTTATTAACGATGCTTTTATTTATTTTAATTAGGTGAAAGGTTATCGAATATGTTAGTACCTTATTACATAACTGCACTATTCAAATTCAGAATGTATACACTCTCTATAATTGTTTAGTTAAACTATTCTTACATATATTTTTTTACAGGATTACCAAAAGTAGCAGTTCCATCGACCATTCATTGTGATCATTTAATCGAAGCTCAAACAGGTGGAGATGCAGATTTGAAACGAGCGAAAGATATCAACAAAGAGGTTTACACCTTTTTGAAAACAGCTGGTGCTAAATACGGAGTTGGTTTTTGGAATCCTGGTTCGGGTATCATTCATCAGATTATTTTGGAAAATTATGCTTTCCCTGGTCTATTAATGATTGGTACTGATTCTCATACACCAAACGGAGGTGGTTTGGGATGCCTTTGTATCGGTGTGGGTGGTGCAGATGCTGTTGACGTAATGGCAAATATACCATGGGAATTGAAATGTCCTAAAGTTATTGGAGTTAAATTGACAGGAAGTTTAAAAGGATGGACCAGTCCGAAGGATATTATTTTGAAGGTAGCTGGTATTCTAACCGTTAAAGGAGGTACAGGTGCTATTGTTGAATACTTTGGACCGGGTGTTGATAGTATCAGCTGTACTGGAATGGCAACAATTTGTAACATGGGTGCTGAAATTGGTGCTACTACATCTGTATTCCCTTATAATTATCGTATGCAAGATTATCTCAAGTCAACGAGCCGTGGTGAAATAGCCAATGAAGCTGACAAATATAGAGAAAAACTTTTAACCGCTGATTCTGGTGCTAAATACGATCAGATTATCGAATTGGATCTTTCCACCTTGGAACCACATGTTAATGGACCGTTTACACCTGATCTTGCTCATCCCATTTCTAAATTAGGTATTAATTTATTATAAATATATCTTAAAGTTCGTCATTTGATATAAATTTGTTTTAGGTGAAACTGCTAAAAAGAATGGTTGGCCCAATAAAATCGAAGTTGGTCTTATCGGCTCATGTACAAACAGTTCTTACGAAGATATGGGTCGTTGTGCAAATATTGCTAAACAAGCTATAAAACATGGATTAAAAGCAAAATCTACATTCAATGTTACGCCAGGATCCGAACAAATTCGTGCTACAATTGAACGTGATGGAATTGTAAGCTATTTTTCGATTCAAATTACTAATCGTTACTTAATCAGTATTTTAAAATTAGTTTTGCCATTGATTATCGAATATCTTTAAGAAATACCGCTAATTTCAATGATATCTTAATTCATAAAGTACGTATATGTGCTTAATTATATTTCAAAAAATTAATTTGTAAATTAGTCTAAACAATTTTTATAATTTGAATAATATTTTTATTATAACTTATGTTTTATATGTATACGTTTCTGAATCCATGCCAAATATTGGGTACTATACATAATACGTATATTTATTTAACATTTAATTACGTGACTTGCGCCAATTCTTAATCTAGATCAAATAAATATAATCAATAAATAAAAAGAAATATTTTCATAATATTCTGTTTTATTATTAGGCAAAGATTCTTCGTGATTTTGGTGGCATCGTACTTGCTAATGCTTGTGGCCCTTGCATTGGTCAATGGGATCGCAAGGACGTTAAAAAGGGAGACAAGAATACTATTGTTACGTCTTACAATCGTAATTTTACAGGACGTAATGATGCCAATCCTGCAACTCACGCATTTGTTACAAGTCCAGAACTCGTTACTGCCCTATCAATCGCTGGTAGATTGGATTTCAATCCCGTGAAAGATAAATTGAAAGGAGCTGATGGCAAAGAATTTCTTTTGGATGATCCCTTTGGTTAGTTACATTAAATTTTTAGTATAATTGTTTGAATGAGAGAATATTAAACAACGTACATATTTAGTTTACAATGTTATTTACTAGTTTTATTTATCAGTAACAATATACTGAGTATAATTAATCAATAAAATAGTTAAGTAACTATAATATATTAATATTCTTTTAATGTACAGGTGATGAACTTCCAAGTCGTGGATTTGATGCTGGTTTAGATACATATGATGCACCTCCCTCAGATGGTAGCAAAGTAAAAGTTGATGTAGATGTAAAAAGTCAAAGATTACAATTACTAGAACCATTCGACAAATGGGATGGCAAAGATCTAACAGAATTGACTGTTCTTATTAAAGTTAAAGGAAAATGCACCACCGATCACATTTCAGCAGCTGGACCTTGGCTTAAATATCGCGGTCATTTGGACAATATTTCCAACAATATGTTTATTGGGTTAGCATTATATTTATATAATAAAAATGATAATTCAATGATCAATAATATATTCTAATTGTAAATTATTATTAATTTCAATTCACAGAGCTGTTAATTCAGAAAATGGTGAAGTTAATAAAATAAAGAATCAATTAACCGGTGAATGGGGTGCAGTACCTGATGTAGCAAGACATTATAAGAAAAATGGAGTTAGATGGGTAGCTGTTGGTGATGAAAATTACGGTGAAGGTTCTTCTCGCGAACATGCTGCTCTTGAACCACGTCATTTAGGAGGTCGTGCTATTATTGTTAAAAGTTTTGCACGTATTCATGAAACGAATTTGAAGAAACAGGGATTATTGCCTTTAACGTTTGCCAATCCCAGTGATTATGACAAAATTCAACCTACAGATAAAATCAGTCTTCTTGGATTAAAGGATATTGCTCCTGGCAAGGTAAACTGTTTAATAAAGATTTTCTATACATAATTTAAGAATAATTATGTATATGCTATATTTCTTTTTGATTTCTACAGCCTGTGAAAGCAGAGATCAAACACAAAGATGGAAAAGTCGATGTGATTAGTCTAAATCATACATTAAATGACCAACAAATAGGTTGGTTCAAAGCTGGCTCCGCTTTAAATCGTATGAAGGAAATTGCCATGGGAAAATAAGATCATTATTTTCTTGTAAAAGGGAAGTGAATATAAAAATGTCAAATTGAGAAATCTTACATAATTTTATCTAGTTGCGCATAGATCGTTTACAAGCCATTCAAAAACAGTTCAATATTACGAACATAGGTTTTAGATCTTTTTATTAGAAATTGTTACAGACAATTGTCTCACCCCATATTAATTCAACTTCATTAATGTAGATATGTAAAACTCAAACGATACTTCCGATTCATTTTTCAAGGATATATATCTTATAAAATTTGTAATGAATTATAAAAAGAACACATGTTCTATAGATTTTAAGCTATTAACGTAATCTATAGCGAATTATATTTTTTTGGGGTCATTAAGAAAATTGATATAAAGCCAATTCTCTTTTTCATAGTTACATTTTAAATGCATCGGGGTTTCCTGCCTATTATTTTCGTCGGGTAAAGACATTAATTATTGGAATGACATGTAGATTTATTTAAAATCATCTATGTATATGTAATGTAAAATTACAATATGATAAATAAGGGACTTGTGCTTGAAAGGGCCATATTAAAATTTTGTCTTTATCCGACCAAATTTATTATGTATATATTCACAAGACGTAGTTTTTATTGTCAATGTAAAAATCTTTTAGGTACGAATTATATAAATTATATGTGGTTATCGACTGACTTAAAAAAAAAAAAAAAGAAAAAAAAAACAGAAAAAAGAAAAAAAAAAGGAAAATATACAATTGCTGTCAATAAAATAAGAACAAATAAAATACTTGACGGTATTTTATAGTCGATGATTTTATTTGATAATGATTCTACCGTGTTTATTTTTTGTCATCAATTTTAAATATGTTGCGTTACATGTTTATGGAATATTCCATGCAAAATCGAAATTACCTTTCAACTGAGTTAAAACACTTAAAATATGTCGTCTCTTTTAAAAGTTATATTTAAAAAAAAAAGATCAGAGTTTATTCGCATAAGAAATTTTATTTTTTGAATTTTTTGAATTTTTTGTTTAAGGCACAAGATTTACATTATTAGGGGATGGCGGAAAGTAACATGTCTTCTTTTTTAAATTAAATTCAAACACAAATTCATTTATAAAAAATTCTTATTTTCAATCAATAATATAATCACCCTCGTTATTAACAACCCTTTGCCATCTAATTTGCAAATTTTCAATGCCGGAACGATAAAAGTCAATTGGTTTTAGATTTAAATATTTCGAGATGGCATATTTAACATCATAGAAATTTTTAAATTTTTTCTCATTAAGAAAATGTTGTAGCGTAGGAAATAAATGAAAATCCGAGGGTGAGATATCGGACGAGTGTGGTGGATAAGGTAATATCTCCCACCCTAATTTATTAATTTTTTCGAAGGTTTGTTTTCCAGAGTATTGTCTTGCATTGTCATGTTGCAGAGTAATTTTTTTCATATTGATAATCTCCGAATACTTTTGGATTAAAGATTCGTTCACTCGATCCAATTGTTCACAATAAAGATCTACGTTAACAGTTGGTTTACATTTCTGTATTTCAAAATGAACGATTCCGTGAATACTCCACCAAACAGACAGAAACACCTTATTAAGTTGATAATCCAGTTTCTCGGTAATTTGTGGTGATTCATTTGAAGAGATCAATTGTCTTTTACGATTTGACTTGTAATATGTGATCCATTTTTCACCTGCAGTTATCAAATTATCAAAAAACGATTCTGTATGGTGTCGTTGAAGCAACAAGTTGCATATGAGGAATCGGTCGATTTTGTACTGTTCCTGCAGACTATGAGGAACCCAAACACCAGTTTTGCTTTTTTTTCCAATATGCTTTAAATGTTCTTGGATGGTCGACCAAGGCATGCCAAAGGTGTTTGATAGTTCCTTGATTGTTTTATATGGATTTACTTCAATTTCTGCCTTTAGCACGTCGTTGTCTAATATCTGTGGTCTTCCTGATCGATGGGAATCAGAGAGATCAAAATTACCTGATTTAAACTTGGAAAACCATCTTTGGCATGTACGATCGTTTAATGCATTTGGATAAACATCGCAAATGTTTTTGGTCGCAACTGTAGCGGAATTACCTTTACGAAACTCAAAAAGCATACAATGTCGGATATGCTCTTTTGGTATTTCGTTGGTCATTTTACACAAAATTGCAAAAAAAAAATACAAAAAGGTTTAATATTTAATTATTATTTAGAAGTGAAAACAAGTCAAAATAACCTTAAAATATATTTTTTTTGATACAACTTTGAAGTGTACACAGTCAGCTGACAAATGATAGTTAACTATTGACATGCGTAGAAACGACATTACTTTCCGGTCCCCCTGTATGATTGATTATACATATATAATTTAAAATAACATATATATAATAATATATATATATATATATATATATATATATATATAGTTTTAAATAAAAATAGAATCAAAAATACGTATATATCATGTCGCAATCTTTTAAATTTGGCGCAATTATTGGGTATATATATAGTATAATCTCTATTCGTACTGCGCATGCGCGTATCTCATAGCAACGCGTTTTCAACATACCAAACATAAAGTCCATATTGTAGTAAGGATAAAAGTGTTGTGTTGTTATAACCTGTTTCTTACTTTGTTAAATATCATAGATTAATTATAATTAACAAAGAAATATACATTTATTTCAATTGTTTATAAGATAATGTCTGTGGAAGGGCAGTTCTTTTTATCTATTACTGGTTCCATCGAATATGCAGAGTTCTACAATATCGATAATGCATATTGCAAATACGGGTTTCATTTTGGTCCCGAATGGAGCGTTGTGGCTGTTAGTATATAATAGTTTATCAAATGAAGATTTTATTTAAAATTCTTCAATAGTTTTTTCTGTTTTCTCTTTTTTTTTTTTTAAATTCCATATAAAATTAAAGAAATGATTAAGTAGAATTACTATAGAAAATATATCAAAGTTATTGTTGCGAATAACAATAACTTTCAATCATCGAAAATACGTGCGGTGGATCGAATAGTTTTGAATCTTACATAGTTATAATTTTATTTTGATCGAACACAATTTTATTTATATAAAAATAAAATACGTATATAGTTGTTTTCTTTGTTGCAACTTAAAACTTTTCAATCCTAACCTAGTATTTTCTTTTTATATATAATTTTATTATCAATTAAATTTCAAATTTTATTATTTCAGGGTATCGAAGAAGGACTGACGCAAATGTGCAAATGTAGTAACGATCCAAGAAATCTTATTGCTTGGAACTTCCCATTGGAAATAACGTTCAAAAGTACCAATCCTCATGGGTGTAAGTATAATTAATGATATTATTATTATTAATTGGCATTAAGAACTCGAAAGTTCATTGCCATAAATACCAAATCCCGGCCAGTGTTCTCGTCCCTGAGTTTGATCCCGTCCATTTGCGGTCTTCGTAGCCTATTTCTTTAAGATCCCGAAATAATATTGTCCTCTCATCAACTTCTCGGTCTACCCAGTGGTCTTTTCCTGTTGGTATACCGATCAGTATTTTATGTGCCATTCGATCCTCCCCCATGCACGCCACGTCACCTGCCCGTCTTAATCGGCGTGATTTTACGACGTTAATGATGTCCGGTTTGTTGTACAGTCGGTGAACTTCTACGTTATTGGGGTTTTCTCCATTCGCCCGTTTCCTCATCGCGTTTTGCACCGAACATTTTACGAACAACTTTATTTTCGAAAAGCCTCAATTTCTTTCCGTCTCGTAACGTAAGTGACCACGTTTTACTACCATAAAGGACTACCGGTAGGATGATTGTCCTGTAAATCCTGATTTTCAAGCACCTAGACAACAACTAAGAGCTGAGTAATTTATTGACATCGCCTAAATTGATTCTTTTCTTAAGTTCTTCGTTTTATTTCGTTTGTCTGGTTTATGATCGATCTTAAATACCTAAAGTTGCTGACCCTTTTCAAAATTTTATCTCGGACGACCAAAGTTCCAGTATTAGGCACATTCTGAATTCTATATAAATTTTTAATTAATTATTGAATAATTGCAATAATGATGAATTTTCAATAATCGATGATACATGTTTCAGGGCCACAACTAATAATGTCTATCTACGGATTAGATATGTTTGATCATGATGTTATCGAGGGTTACGGTGTATGTCATTTGCCTCTTACAACGGGATATCACGAAAAAAGGTAATTTAATGCTCATTTTGTATTGTTCAAATTTATTCCTTCATTCTTATCTCTCTCGTGGGGGAAAAAATTAATTAGTTAGAAAGATGAATTTCATATCCCAAAAAAGAAAAAAAGAAAGCATTAAAGTTCTTATCGTCCAACAGATTAGAAGAGGATAATAATTCATACAAATTGAAATTAATGTTATCATCGAACAAAGTAAAAAAGAAAAAAAAGATAAAAATGTATTATTAGTATCTATTAACGATAAGATATCTCGAATATATATTTTCAATAATTTGATATTGCAAAATAATGACAATTCTTACAAGATTTTCTTTTATATTCGTATATTTCATTATGTTTGATTTATTTTATTTTATTTACAGAGTTTCCATTTACATTCCTCAATCATCTTCAACGTTGCAACAATTAGCAGCTTGGTTGACAGGTAAAAGACCAGAATTAATAGATCCAGCCATATTGGCCAGTGGTGGTGGACGAGAACGTGAGTAAAAATAACATTTTCATGATATAATTTAATTTAAAAAAAAAAAAAAAGAAAAAGAACCATTACTAATTACAACTGTTGCTAATAAATGGGGTGTATAATCTCGTTTATGTTACTACTAATTATTTAATACTAATCGCAATTTTTACAATGAATTTAATTTTAATTTATCAACGATTTATTTTATTTTATTTATTATATTAAAAGGAGAAAAGAAACTTTAGATATTTAAGAATGAAGATAAATGTTTTTATGTATTGCAGTGACTCGTATGAAGGTTCAAGGACACGTTAATTTGACTTTTAACGTCGTATTGAAAGATTTTTTAAAACTGGGTTACAACAATGGAGAAAATAAAGGAAAATGAACAATAAATTCTTTTTTTTTTTTTGGTTTATCCTTTTTTCTCCAATGTTAAATGTTACATTTCGTTTTAATTTTTTTGCTGCTTTTTTTTTTCAATTTTCATTTAGCATTATTTCCTTTTCCTCGTCATAAGTTCTCATTAAAATCTACTTGTACTTTTATAAATAACATTTATCTCATTCAATTCAAAGCCTTATGCTTTGATCTATTTATACGTTCTTAATAAATGAAAAGCTATTGCATTTTTTTTGCCATTGTATTTAATTTTTTCTTTTTATTTGTTTTTATTTTATTATTTTGTCCTTATTTCATTTCAGACTTTGTTCTTCCTAATATACTTTTAATACAATTTTCAGTATTCAATTTAAATCAAAAATATCATTTCTACGATAATGTTTATACTACTTTCGAATGTTATAATAATTTATTTAAATGAAATAAAAAACAAAAAAGTAATAAATAATAATACAAAAGATGTCTTATAAGGAACGTAATATAAAATATGAAGATTTTAATTGAAAAAGAAATAAGATTTAATATAATGAAATGTAATACTAGTTAGTAATAGTAGTAGTAGTAGTAGCAGTTTCCTGTAATTTTGAGGAAAGTAAATTGGCATTCTGTGTCATGTAAAGTGTCTTCATTAATATTCATATAACCAGGATGTTTCGTAAAATGTAAACGGTTATGATACTTTGGTTTAACGGGTATAGTTCCCTATAAGAGAGAGATAGAGACCTTAAGGCAAAACGATCTGGTTATTGTCATTAATCAGAATGACAATTTGACAATTACCGGAAACTATGGTCTACGATAACATAGAATTAAACAAAACCTTCATTGAGATTTGAATGAAATTGCTCTATTGGGAATATTTGTTGTTAGGCTGATTGCGAATCAAAAGTTTGTAATATAGTAAATTATATTTATTATATATATAATATTAACTCTATAATATATATAATGTATAAAATATAGAGTTAATATAATTATATTAAAATAACATATTTAATATAAAATTAAAAAAATATATATAATTATAAAATATATTATAAAATAAAAACATATAGATGTAATATAAAATAAATATGTTACATGTAATATATAAAATAATTATATTAAAATATTATTATATTAATTATTATAATAAAATATTATTAAATTAATAAAATACTTTCCAAAGTAAATTGTTACAAAAAAAAAAAAAAATACGACACTAATCCATTATACAGTTTGTACTACAATTTATAACACAACTTTTTCTTTACCCCAATATTTTATCTTTCAATTTATTTTTTTTTTTAACTCCTTTTTTCCCTTTTTACATATATGATTAAGTTTAATGCTTATGAAAAAGGAATACTACAATGAAAAGTGTAAAAAAGAAACAACAAAAGAAAGGAAGGATGGAAAGAAGAGGGTATGCGTCCATTTATGTTTTATTTTCGATATTACGGTACTACGTTGGAAGAAGTTATATAGAATTAGAAATTCTCTGTAGGTTTTGTAATTTTATTAATTCTCTCTCTTTTCTATTTTATTTTTTTTTTTTATTTTTTCCGCACGTATTTTTTCTCCTACTTCACTTTTATCAAATGGAAAATGTTGTATTTTTTTCTCCCACTTCACTTTTATCAAAATGGAAAATATTGTAGAAATCGCTAATGATAGAAACCTAATTTGAGTAAATTCAATTTAAAACGTGTTTATAATATTTAAAAAATAAAAAAAAAAACAAAAAAAAACAAGTCAAATTTCGAAGTTAAAAAAACGCGTGATTTTTAATAATAATAATAATAATAATAATAATAATAATAATAATAATAATAATAATAATAATAATAATAATAACAATAATAATAATATTAAATTTAACTTTAAAAGTATGATAAATGAATTTTTTTCATATATTAATATTTATATAAAATAAATTTGCAATTAATTTTTTTTTTTGGCAGTAAAAACAAAGATTTATGTATTTTGTCTTTTTCTTTCTTTCTAATTTAGGGTAATAAATTTTACGAATATTTCAAAATCGAGAAAGAAAAGTTTATTTAGAAAAATCGAGAATAGATGAGTTAAAGTGAAAAATATATTTTTTTCTTTTTTATTTTCTATGATTTATCGTATTGCACAAAACTATATTTCGTTTTGAGGATCATCAAGGAACATGAATTTTTTACAATTCTATTCTTTTTTTTTTTTCTCGCAAAGAGATGAAAGTGATTTAGGGATGTTTTTTTAGTTTCAAAGTTGAATAAAGTTTTATTACGTTCAATTACCCGATTGATAAAAGTTTTAAAGGTTTGATATATAAACTTTCACGAAAGTACATATGTATGATGTGCGTATCAGTTATTTGCATTTAATTAACAAATTACAATAGTTTAGAGAAACAACGAAACTAATAAACAAGTTTCACCTTTTTTTGCTCCCCTTATCTTCTATTGTAATATGTTTTAAATTGGGAAAGTATAATAACTAATGTAAACTTTCTCATTTCAACTTTGGAAACTGTAAGAACGTGCGTAACACTAAACATTTTGACTAATGAAGGGAAGATAATAATGAGGAAAATAAATTTAGTCGAGTTTTAGGGAAAAAATAACTAGAAATAGTATATAGAAAAATAAATTAAAAATATGTTTACTAAATTAATAATGCTATTATATAAATAATAATATTATAGCATTAATATTAGTTATTATTAATTATTTTTAAATTAATATTTTTTAATTATTATTAATATTACAGTAATATTATACTAAAAATATTAATCCTATAATTTTTACTAAATAAATGAAAAATATTATTAGCTAAAGTATAGTGTTAATTATTTAAATAACAATTAAATTTGTTATTTTTAACGTAAAACATTTGTAATTCGAAAAATAACATTATAAACTTTTGTGTTTCCCTTTTTAACTTAATTTTTAATTAATTAATTTTTCCTAAATAATTGTAGATTAATATTTAAGGTAAAAGAAATAAATCACATTGTGTTAATCCATCATATATATTTATATTACAGTAAAATAAATTATATTTTATTCTCGTAAGTTTGTAATTACAATTAATCTATTACGTAATAATATGGGATATGTAATCTACATATGTACATATATTATACAATTTATGTTCAAATATTGATTTGAACAAAATCTAAGTACAAAATATATACATTTTCTAGTAAAGACAAATGCACATTGCATCACGCATAATATAACACAATTACATTTAAACTCGAGAGAATCTTCTATACTTTTCTCGACTATCAATTACATGCACATGCATACACAATCACAATCATACACACATACACACAATTTACTATTTTCATACTTATTCATTCACACCTAATATAACATAACGATGCGAGGCTTGCAATACTTTGTCTTACATTAGACAGTGTATAAACAATAAGATAATAATATAATATAGAATAATAAAAAGTTGAAAATTTAATTTGGTAACTTTGCTGTCCTATTTTCCTTATGGACTAGATTCATTGGCAAAATCATGTTTGGCACGGTATCCTGTTATCCTGAAAAGAAATTTAACGACATTATTATTATTCGTTGAGTCTCACGTATATATATTCATCTTATGCACTTTGAATAAATTCATATATATATATATATATATTTCGAGATCGCTCTCCTTTCTCGTTTTTAACAGAAACGTTTTGTGAATAACTAGGAATTATTCGAATAAAGAAATGCAAGATGAGAGAGGGGCATTTAGAAATATAACTCTAGCGTAAATCTCACGTACACATCGATGTAACTACTTTTGCAAGAAAAAGAAGAAGAAAAAAGAAAAAAAGAAGAAAGAACGAACATCGTGACTTAAAAGAAAAAATATCAAAAATTTCACTAACGTAAGATATTTTCCTTTTTTTACTATCGTATCTCGTAAAAGTGATATGAAATATATTTAATTTAAATTAGTTTCAAAGTATTCTCATATATTATACCTATTATTATACTTGTTGTATATTTAAAAAAATAATTTTTCTTATTACGTTTCAAACAACAAAACTTTTATAACAAAGTTTGATTATTTCAAGTAGTGTAGTGGATAACACATAACAAACATCAATACAAACTTTCAGATGATGGAAACAATTCTGTTTATTTCTTTTTTCTAATTTTTATTTTCAATTTACCTGGATTATTATTTAACGTCGTTGTGATCGTATGAATTATTGTTAACATCAACGGGACTTGGTACGTCGTTGTTAACATTATTGTTAATTTTCATATTAGGAAATGTTTTTAAGAATTCAAAAATAATGCCATTGGTCCATCCGAAACCTTCTTGAACGTTATATTCACCACCACCGCCACCTTTACCGGGTGAAGTAGCATCATACTGCAAGTAAAACAAAATTATGGTCAATAATCAGATATTGTGTAAGCTCAAAGTAAATTTGATCGGATAATAATGAACACAACCTGTACGTAAGAAACTACTGGCTATGTTATTATAGTTAGAAGTTATATATAGTGAACATATTCTCGTGAGACATGCACCCAATTTACTCGCCTAATTCCATATTGAAGGGAAAACCGAACGAACCGGATGGATCAAGATTGACGCTTAGAATACTAATCTTTTATAAATTCTAACAGACATAAACAAAAAGAGAAAGAGAAAGAAAGAGGATGAGAATGTGACAATGTAATCGTGATAAAAATAGCATATTGTTTACAGGATAATTATTTATTATTAATAAATGTGTTCTTTTGTATCACGAAGAATGAAATATGTAATCAAAAGTTATATTTAATTTAATATTATATTTTTACGTTTAAACATTACTTAATATATAATATATTATTTTATTTTATTACGTATTATAATATATTATATATAATAAAATTTAAAAATATAATATATTATTATGTTTTATTATATATTATAATTATTTATATTATATATATTATAATTATGTATAGTTTAGTTATTATAATTATATTATTATAATTATATAATATATAATTTTAATTATATATTACTTATATATACTAATATATAATTATACAAAATATTTTACACAATATTTAAAATTTTTACAAAATTATTTCATTACGTTTAAACATTACACATGAATAAAATATATAATTGTAAACAATATATATACAAAATGTTTAGACATAAATTTGTATTTTATTATCTAACGAAATATTTTATTATAATAAATAAAACGAAAGTGGAAAAAGAAGAAGAAGAAGAAATAGAAGAGGATAAACTTGGTCTATTTTTTCATATTTCGTTTTTCTTTTTACGTGATTTCAGTCGTTAAGGTCAAAGAACTCGAGAAATGACGTATAACGCGAGGTAGGATTTCGCGGCTTTGTTGAAAAAAGAAAAAACGTCGACTAAAAATTTTTAATCTAGCACACAGATGAAGAGTACTAACTTGGCTTTTATATCCTACGTAATATACCACTGAAGTTCTATATTTTTTTTTTTTAACTCTTCTCGGTTGTGTGACACATCGAGTCAATGATACACACACAGTCGTAAAAAAACAAAAACACAACAAAAAAAGAGATATCATCTAGAAATGTCAATTTACAGATTCAAATATTGTAAAAGTTTTTACAAAACATATATATGTATATATAGAAAAAGTGAATACATATATGAAATTTGTATAAATAGAAAAGTAAAAAAGTTGATCCGATTTATCGGATAAAGTGTTCTCAAATAGTTAGGATTGGTCATATCGAAGTTATGATGTAGCTTTTGAAAGTAACGGATTTATTAACAAAAACAGAAATAGTAATAAAAAAAATAAAAAAAGTGGGGTAGCAGTAGTAGTAGTGGTAGTAATAGTAGTAGTATATTTTTTACGATTGTAAAAATGCTTTTCTCGTCTTTTGCTGCCTGGACAATTTTACGATTGGTTCTAGTATCTCGCGCGAATATTGGTGCTTTTATTCATCGACGAATTTTCACGAGAAATGGCCGCCGGTTCTCGATAGATCAAAACCTTTCAGTATTATTTTCTTTCTTTCTTTCTTTCTTTCTTTCTTTCGTTTGTTTCTGCGTTCGTTCATTCGTTTGAACAAACGAGTAAACGATTCAGCAATTTAACACGAGAGATTGTAAATTCCTACGCGTTTGCCAAGGAAATACCTTTTCGTATCTTGTTCGTGGTATACATGAGGAGGCAAGGGGGTAACTTTAACCCCTCTTTTAAAATGAAGATCACGGAAACTTCAAAACAACATCAACAACAACATCAACAACATCAACCAACGTTCAAAGGGATTTCAGCTCTTACATGTTTTGCTAATTCGTTTCGAATGTAAAAACATATTTTTTACTTCTATATTTTTAACTTTAGTTTTATTAAATTTGTTTTCATTCTATTTATTTTTTATTTTTGTATATAATATCGTTCTTAATTAGAATTAATTAGGTTGAATTAGCATTAACAAATTTATAGAGTTCTAATATAAATATAATAATTATATTAATTATAATATTATTGTTCATAATTAATATTATATTTATTATTATTTAGATAATAAATTATTATATTATAGAATAAATATTATAATTATTATTTAATTATAATATAATATAATTATATATAAAATTAAATATATATAAATATAATAAATATGGATTATATTAATAATATTAATAATTATGATATAAATTTAAAAACTTTAATTTTACTAATTTTATTTTCATTTGTTATTTATTTTTCTATATATCGTTTTTAATTAAAATTAATTATGTTGAATTAGAATATTTTGTTTATATTTCTTTTTGTATCACAGTTTATCTTAATTTATGGAAAGATTATTTTTTTTTAATCATCATGAAAATATTTTGTCTTATTTAAATAACATAGACATGATTGACAATATTGTTATCTGTTAGGTTTAATACAAACAAATCCAAGTATACCATAGATAATGAAAATATTTGCATGCTACACATGTATGATAGATATCAGACACCGAAACTATATTAAACTGACGAATGGTAACCAATTGTTGCATTTAGATGCGAATTTACATGAGTTATTGTTAGATTAGTTGCTTTGGGTTCTATTACAATATCTGAAGATTTTGAATACTGTCACACACAACTGTACTATAATCATGTGCATTAATTTAACCGTTTGTTTACTTCTACTGATACAACCTAGAAACTCATCCTAAGGGTTTACAAAAGTTAATTGAATTTTACGTATCTTTAAACAAATGAAAAATTCCAAAAGTATTCTTAACAAATATTTTTATTATTTTATTTCAATATGCTGTTGATTCTTTTCAATGAAAGTTTTATTTAATTGCAAAAAAAATAGACAATAGATTTGCACTATATATAACACACTTTTGACGATAAAATAAAAATTTCAAATGTGTAAAAGATTCGATAAAATTTAGATTTATTCAGTTTAATAGTTCAACGAATTCACTATGCGTTTTTATTCTTTTCATCGAAACTTTTCTATAAACGTAAAAAACAAATAAATAAAAATACAAAAATAAGGCTTGTAATACACTTTGCGTAAAATAAAAATGTATAACTGCAAATAAAAAAAAACAATAAAACACTCGGAACAAAATAAAAATTCGAAATGTTTATTGAAAAAAAAAAAAGAAGAAAGAAAAAGAAATATTCAATAAAAATTCAATCTCTTTTTCGTTTATTTTACAATATTATATTATATTTGATTCTTTTAGTTCTCTTAGTTTCTCGTTTCTTTACAATTACTTATATATAGTATATAGATTTATTTATTAAAGTATATTATTTATATACAGTAATCATTAAAAATATTCGAGAAAGTATAGCTTTTGGAAAAGGGAAAACTAATTTTACTTACAGTTAAGAATAAACAAAATATCTTGAAATTATTAATGAAATGTAGAAAAACTTATGATTGGTAGACATTCTATTGCTATTACTTTTATGATAAGATTAAGAAATAGTAAAAGTTTAAATTTTGTAGCAATTTATAATTGAGTTCTTTGAAATAAATAGAACATTTTGTTAATTTGGATCTCGTACTTGTGATTTTTCTTTTTTTTTTTTTTTTATATATTTTTCACAAAGTTATACTTTTGAATGTTTACAATTTGTAAAAGTTATATTAAATTAAAAAAAAATAATAAAAATAAAATAAATAAATAAATAATTAAATAAGATAGAATTAAAAAAAAAAAATTTCAACTTTTAACAAAAAAAAATTGGAAATACTAATACTAGTATAAATATATTATATATATAATTATTTAATATATTATTTAATATATATATTTAAATATTATTTATTTAATAAATATTTAAATATATAATAAAATAATATAAAAATAAATAATATTAACAATTACTATAGAATACTCGAGAATAAATCTTTCGTTAACTTCTAATATAATATTTTATTAAAATAAAATATAATTTTTTTCTCTCTCATCATTTTACGTTCGTCATCTAAAGAATGTAACGTATCATTTCGAAGTTAAATTTTTATACCACGTCTTGTTTTATGCTTTTTTTTTAGATCATTTTCCTTTAACCGAATCTATCGTGAACATGGTGGTGGTGACCATTTTCCTTTCACAACTTCACATTGATTCGGGAAAACTTTTCGATCGTATCTTTGAAACTTTTACCGATAAAACCAAAAGTAAAATTCTTATTCGAGAAGATCCTCACACGAAATGTCTTTTTACATTTAAAAACTTGTTCCTTTTGATGTAAATCGATATTGATAAGTAAATACTTATGTAAGTATTATATATATAATATATAAAACATATACACATATGTATATACGTTTATATACAAAATATATATAGGATGTATCAAGAAAATGTTCGATAAATGATATATAAATAAAATTATAATAGAAGCTGAATATTTTATATAATAAAATTAGATAAAACTGATAAAATATTGATCAGGATTATATACTTGAGTATGAGTATATAAGGGTACCTAAAATAGTATAAGAAAAAAAATATTTATATATATAGTTATATAGATATAATAATTTAATATATAATATATTTTGTATATGAAATATTTTTATATATAAAAATACATATACATTTTATATTTATTTTGTTATAAATATATAAAATTTATATTTTGTTTATTAAAATATTTT